GAGCTCTGCCTCCTCCTCCGTGAATGGGCAGGCAGGGTCCCGCCGGGGCTGCTGGGAGGGCGGGAGGTGGCCCTGGTGCCTGGGCTCTGCTGCTGCTGTCGGAAGGGAGTTCAGTTTGACGGGCGGGGTTTGAACACGTGGCCACAGGGGGATGGCCTGCATGTGTCTGTTTTATAAAGTTCACGTGGCTGAGCATCGACCTATGACCCAGGAGGTCACAGTTCGATTCCCGGTCAGGGCACAGGCGCGGGTTGCGGGCTCCATCCCCAGTGTGGGGCGTGCAGGAGGCAGCCGGTCCCTGATTCTCTCTCATCACTGATGTTTCTCTCTCCCTCTCCCTTCCTCTCTCTGAAATAAAACACAACAACAACAAAGATTTTAAAAAGCAGACTTAGCCCTCACGGGGTCTGAGCAGGTTCCTGGGCTCAGGGCAGCTCAGGGGTGCAGGGCAGGGACAGGTGGCTGGGCCTGGGTAGCTGTGGAGGCTCCTCAGTCGCCCCCCCTCCCCCTGGAGGAGGCCTGACCCCGGGCTGCCCCGCAGGGACTGCAGCCTGCCCGAGAACCCGCTGTTCATCGCCTGCGGCGGCCAGCGGACCGGCCCCCAGGGGTAAGTGTCCCAGCCTGGCTCCCAGCGACATGCTCACCGAGGGTGTGCGGCCAACAGACAGGTGCCAGGTGTGCCCTCCCAGCCGGTGGGCTCAGAGCGGAATCACGGGGCGGGCTGTGCACGAGTAAGGCCCTCAGTGAGGCACACGCCAGCCTGCTGCTCGGTCAACGTCACATGGGAGCGAGGGGTGTTAGTGATGCCACTACTGCTGTCCTCACCCTTAACCTTGACCCAGGCCTCACCTTTAACCTTGACCCAGGCTTCACCTTTAACCTTGACCCAGGCCTCACCCTTAACCTTGACTCAGGCCTCACCTTTAACCTTGACCCAGGCTTCACCTTTAACCTTGACCCAGGCCTCACCCTGAGGAGCAGTGACCAGTGAGGCCGGGTCTGGGACTCGGTGCCCAGGTTGCGCATTTCATTCACGGGCTGTGCAGTGAATAGTGCAGGTGGCACCTTCCTCCTCGTTGGGTGGGACCATGGGCCCCAGGTGCTCGTCAGGGTCCGTGTTCCTGGGGACACATCGTTGTGCATTTGGGGAACGAGGGCCTTAGACGAGAAGCGCGACACAGACGGTGGTGCCTTGTAAGGAACCGTGTAGCTTCAGGCAGGAGCTCGCTCAGCACAGGGACGAGAGGGGAGACTGTCAGGGACTCCATGGCCGGTGTGGCTCAGTGGATATGGATAGCATGTCGGCCTGTGGACAGAGGGTCCCGGGTTTGATTCGGGTCAAGGGCACGTACCTCGGTTGCAGGCTCCTCCTGGCCCGGGCCCTGGTCAGGCCACGTGCAGGAGGCAACCCATCGATGTGTTCCTCTCACATCGATGTTTCTGTCTTTCCCTCTCCCTACAAATCAATGGATAAATATCCTTGGGTGAGGATTAAAAAACAAAAACAAGGTGGGCTTTGAACCTGTGACTAAGGCGACGCCATCCTTCAGCCCGGCTGGTTCTGGTTCTGGTCTGTCCCGCTCTCCAGCAGCTCCCAAGTGCAGAAAAGCGACGCCCACAGAAACCTGACTGCCTCCCTCACCAAGGACGCCGGGAAGAACGTAAACTACACGGCGAGGGGCGCCGTCTTCAGCGTGGATTCCTGGACCTCGGTGAGGAGGGTCCGCTCTGCGTGGAGAGGGGGCCCCTGTGGCCCTGTCCTGCGGTGTCACGGGCTGGGTGATGGAGAGTCACTCGCGCATGCCAGGCCCCAGACCCTCGGCCGCCAGTCTGGTCTGTGCCAGAGCTGCAGGCGGGAGGGCCGCTGGCTCGGGGGGCAGGGACAGAGGCCCCGGGCGGCTGCTCTGGGCTGCCTGGGCCCTCGTTTGGCCTCGGTCTCCCTTGGGCGGGCTCAGTTGTGTCCCCGAACTCGGGAGGGTCTAGCGCTTGGTCCCTCCGGGCCTCTCCCGTCGCATCTGCGTCTGCAGGGCCCATGTCAGGGACAGTCGGCCTCCCACGCTGGGGGCTGCTTGTCCCCCGATTCGCACACAAGGCCTCCCCCATCGCCACGACTCTCGTTCCAGGACTCGATGTCCTTCATGTACCAGACCCTGGAGAGGAACCTGCGGACGCTCTTCACGGGCAGCTCCCAGCGGCCTCGGAAGCACATGTCCAGCCCCCTGGCGTCGTACTTCCTGTCCTGTCCCTACGCGAGGCTGGGCTGGTGGGTGCGCGTGTGTCTGGCTCCGTGTGTGTGCCTGTCCCTGTCGTTTGACCGATGGAGTGAGTGGCCCCTATTGTCCGTCCATTCGTCGTCATCAGCGTTACCTTGGTTACGTGGTTGTAACGCTAAGATGTCTCCTTCACGCCGGTCAGGACGCATGTACCAACCTCGCGGAGTTGCCCCACCTGCAGGGCTGGAGCGCATGGGGTTCTGTCGGGGTCCCTGTGCGCGGGGACAGGCGGTCACAGGTTTGGGGAGAGACGGCGTTAGATGGAGAAGCGCAGACAGTGGTGTGGTGACGGGAACAGTGTAGCTTTTATTTTTTAAAAAAATATATATTTTTTATTTGTTTC